GATGTAGGTTCTGAGTTCTCTGGATGTCCTCAGAGTCCCTGAGAGGTGGCTTCACAGGTAGATGTAGGTACTGAGTTCTCTGGATGTCCTCAGAGCCCCTGAGAGGTGGCGTTGCTGGTAGATGTAGGTTCTGAGATTTCCGGATGTCCTCAGAGCCCTGAGAGGTAGCTTTGCAGGTAGATGTAGGTGGGAGGGGGGGTTGTGTTTTCCATTCTGGGTCTAATCAGTGTCTCCTCTTGCTGCCATTATCCAGCCACCTGCTTAGACGTTTCTGCAAACCGAAAGCCTCCTGGGCGCTCACTCTGGGTGCCGAGCGGCCTCTCCCCACCTTCCATGCAGGGGCTGCCTCGGTGTCCACGTTTCCTCCCTTTCATCTGGCGCAGTCTCCGCCACGAGGAATGCCTTGCTGAGGGCTCCTGGGGCCTTCCCACCCGAGGTCCAGGGTGAGGCTGACACGTTCATCACCATCCTTCCTTTCGTCAGCTGTACGGTGAGATGGTCCTCACCACACAGTTCTCCCATTTGCAGTGTGCTGCCCAGGGCCACTGCTGTGCTTGCAGATGCCACGGTCACATGTGGGAGGCTCCCGTTGCTCCCAAGGACCCATTTCCGTCTGTGATCACCGGTCCCTCTTGCCCCGCCTCTGGTGCTGAGTGACCCCGATCTACCTCCGTCTCAATCAAGTCCCCATTCCCGACGTGTCCCATGGCTGCATCCATGCAGTTCGTGGCAGCATCTGCCTGAGCACCCACGAGGTTGGGTGGCCTCCAGGGCCCACACGCAGGCGCACCCACGAGGTTGGCCATCGCAGGTCGCATGTGGTAACCTCGCTGGACCAGGCTCATGATTGGAAAGGAAGGCGTCTGTGGTGCGCCAGGCCTCTGTTTGGCTGGGAAGCCACCTCAGCATGTGCCAGGCTCAGAGGACACCAGCCGGCGCTGCCCCTGTGCTGGCATTGAGGGTTCTGTGAATGGCTGCGCCTGGACCTGCTCCACACACAGCAAGGACGGGACTGAGGGAGCCAGGGGTGGGCCTGAGTCTTCATCCTGGCCCCGCCGACTGTGGCCCTGTGTGTCTGGGTGCAATAGCCTCTCAGCGTTGTGCCACTGATGCGTATCATTTTTATATCATAATTATAATATCACAGTGCCTGGCTAGCTTCTCCAACTCTAATGTTATTTTCATTTTTAATGAATTACTCACTGTTATTTTTAATTAATTCACCTTTTATTTAGAAAATCCTCAATTCATCTGAATTTGTTTCATGTGTTTGATTTTCCAAGTTGGACACAGCTTTGAAAATTATGAATCCCAATACGCTGAGGACTGGAGAATATGGATACTCTCATATTCCTGGGGGTGGGGTGGGGGAGGGTAAAATCATGCACCTGTTTTTCTGAGCATTTTGACTATCCACACCCAAGACCTTAAAAATGTAGGTGCCTTTGACCAAATATATTTCCTAGGATTTATCATTAGGAAGAAATTGTGGAAGTGTGCAAAAGTATGTTTATAAGAATATATAATGCAATACTATATTAGCCAAAAGTTAGAAGAAACCTTAATGCCCAACATTAGGAAACTGGTTAAATAAAGTATATTAATATGTTCAGTGGAATACTCTACACCCATTTAAAAGGCTATGATAAAAATAGTATTTCATGAGGTAGAAGTACAGAATGCTATCTTTAAGGTGAAAGAATAAGCAGATTGCTAAATAGTGTATATGATTTTGTTTTCACTAAATTATATTATTGAAAGATTATGGGGTTAATTTTCTTCACATTTGCTTGTTAATTGGGAGA